GGGAGGGGAGGGGAGGGCGCAAGCAAGGAATGATGAAGGCGAGCGGGCGAGCGGGCGGGCGGGCGGGGGTGGGAGTGGAGCGCTGCGGGAGGGGAGGGGAGGGGAGGGTAGATTTGGGGCGAGGAGGGGGGGCAGTAAACAGCGCCGCAGCGGCGCCGCGCGGTGGAGTGAAAATGAAAAGAGAAGGAGGCCTAGCGCGCCCAGGGAAGAGAAAGATTTCTTCCTGCCGCCAGGAGGAGGTCAAACGCACTTCCTATGCAGCTGCGGTTGATTTTTGATTCCCAATTTTGCATTCGTGGCACTGTCAATAAGAATTACAGTGACTTTTCAATCGAACATACAAAATGTCAAACGACTCGGCATTCCGTGAAAAAGGTGAATTGTAAAGGTCGGTTTCAAATATGTTTGACCATTCTGGCTCGACGAGCATCGTCACTCGTATCTTTGGGACATGTGAATGCAAAATCAGTGTAGATATGTTTGACCATTTCGACTCGACGAGCATCGTCATTCGTATCTTTGGGCCGGTTGCTTCCTCGCGCACGCCGGCTACGTACGCACCGCACCGCTGACCTTTCCGATCGGCGGAGGGATATCGAATAGCTAGGTGGTCAATGATAGAAGAAAGATATATCTAAAGTGCTACTGATGGTTGTTGTTCGCCTCGTTTCTGCGATCGCCGCTCGTATCTGTGGGCCGTCATCTTGACCGCGTAAGCATACCAGGCGACTTTTCAAGTGAGTTGACAAAAGTCGTATCGTTCAAATGAGAGAGAAGCATGCAGGCGTTGGTCGCCTGGGATAGATGAGCACCAGGTGTGTCTAGGGAAGGTTCCTTGTAGAACACGATGAGCGCCAGATGCATCCAGGGAAGGTTCCTTGTAGGACACTATTCCGAGAAGGTGCTTTACAAAGCACACTGAGAAAACTGCCCAACTTTTCAAGTAACACGACAAGTGTAGAATAGCATGAAACTCACAATGAGCTAGCGTATGCGTTGCTTCGGTGATATCAATGAGTAACGCTTGTGTCTAGGCTTACATGTGTACACTGGCTGTCTTTTCAAGAAATTTGACAAAAGTTGAATACCTAAAGGCTTCAAGGAATGTTGATATGAATGATATTTGGGCTTAATAGTATTGCTTGCTTTGGGAGGTGTGCAACACTCGTATACGATGACTCGATGAGGGTGCTTTTTTGCTAATTTGCTTGAGCATACAAACCGTCTTGTCAACAAATACGAGGGTCCCATGAAAAACCAATATGAAAGAACAAAATCTAGCTTGATCAACACAGAGCAACAAAGACCAATGGTTTGAACAAGCTTTAGTATAAACCTAACATGATGAATTTATGTGTGTTTTGTAGGATTTTTGTGTTTTGGAGGGGGTGAAAAGACATATTGGAAATTCTACTCCATTTTGTAGTTGCCAAGTATTTAGCTTTTATATCAAGGTTCCTCAGCGAGCATAAACATGCAAGTTTACAACAAAAGCACGAATATGGATAGTGAAACTTGTAAAAGTAGGAGTATGAAAAGATATTGTAAACACATTTGATGATGGTGATGTTTTCCCGGGATGAAAAGATATTGCAAACACATTTGACGTGACGATGTTTTCTTATGGTTTGAATACTTTAACACTTCATATTTCGAAGACCACAAATATCTCAACCAAATGATTACAAAGATCGACCACTAAGGCTAATCACAATAAACCTCGAATGCTCCAAGAACCTTGGCCTCCTATTCCACCATGGCAACCGCTAAGGAAACTCACTAGGGTTGATATTGCACAAAGAAAGAGATCCTCGTGCCTTGCACATACTCTTGATCCCTTCACACCTTCAAGGCTCTCAAGTGACTTCTAACCATATAGGAGGCGTATACCCACCAATAGTTACAAGCAAATCAAATTTTCTTAGATGAAATCCTCGAAAGACCTCAACCAACTATCTCAAGAACCCATATGATCTCTCTCTCACACACACAGATACACAAAGGTAGGGGAAAGTAAAGAGAGATGGAGCACTAAGCAAGGGTTCAAGAAAAGGAAGGATATTGGCCTTCAAACCCTTAAGTTTCTGCTCTCAAAGATATGACCAAGTGGTTCCTAAACATGCACCCATCAAATGATGTATGGGATCTATTTTTGGAAAGAGCATAAATCTGGCAGTTACTAAAAATGTAGCTAGCTTGCTAGCCCCGAAAGAAGATTCTTGGTTTTACCATACATGTTCAAAATTTGAACAGTAGGAAGCGAAACAAATGTTCCAAGAAGTGTGCAGCACCGGAAGGTACCAGATTGTTGAGTAAGCCTCTTAGAAATACAAAATCCCAAAGACACTTGAAACAAAAAAGCTCAAAGGTACCAGATACAAAGGTAGCTTGTTTATGCGATATAAAGAACATGTTTGGAAATACTAGAGGAATGACTATTGTATGTAATAGTCGACAAAAGCACGTCCCACAAAGGATCGGTGTAGATATGGCTAAGTCTCAACTGTTGGGGATCGTTGCAGAAATTAAAAAAAAATTCTACGCATCACCAAGATCAATCTATGGAGTAGCTAGCAACGAGAGAGAGGGGGGTGCATCTTCATACCCTTGAAGATCGCGAGTCGGAAGCATTGCAAGAACGCGGTTGGAGGAGTCGTACACGTAGCGATTCAGATCGCGGCCGAATCCGATCTTAACACCGAACAACGGTGCCTCCGCGTTCAACACACGTGCAGCCCAGTGACGTCTTTCGCGCCTTGATCCAACAAGGAGGAGGGAGAGGTTGAGGAAGAGGGCTCCAATAGCAGCACGACGGCGTGGTGGCGATGGAGTGGCAGTACTCCGGCAGGGCTTTGCCAAGCTCTTGCGGAGGAGGATAGGTGTTGGGGAGGGGAGGGGTTGCGCCTTGGATGTGGTGCTGCAGCCCTCCCCTCGCCCCTCTATTTATAGGGAGAAGGGGGAAGGGGGGCGGCCCCTCTAGATGGGATCTAGGGGGGGCAGCGGCCAAGGGGGAGGGGGCTTGCCCCCCAAACCAAGGGGGCGCCCCCTTTAGGGTTCCCCCCAACCCTAGGCGCATGGGCCCTGGGGGCTTGGCGCCCATCCCACTTGGGGCTAGTTCCCTTCCACCTATAGCCCATAAGGCCCTCCGGGGCAGGTGGACCCTCCCGGTGGACCCCCGAAACTCCTCCGGTGGTCCCGGTACAATACCGGTATACCCCCGGACATTTCCGGTGACCGTATGATGACTTCCCATATATAAATCTTCACCTCCGGACCATTCCGGAAATCCTCGTGACGTCCAGGATCTCATCCGGGACTCCGAACAACATTAGGTAATCACATACAAATCTTCCTTATAACCCTAGCGTCATCGAACCTTAAGTGTGTAGACCCTACGGGTTCGGGAGACATGTAGACATGACCGAGACGACTCTCCGGTCAATAACCAACAGCGGGATCTGGATACCCATGTTGGCTCCCACATGCTCCTCGATGATCTCATCGGATGAACCACGATGTCGAGGATTCAAGCAACCCCGTATACAATTCCCTTTGTCAATCGGTACGTTACTTGCCCGAGATTCGGTCGTCGGTATCCCAATACCTCGTTCAATATCGTTACCAGCAAGTCACTTTACTCGTTCTGTAATGCATGATCCCGTGACCAACTACTTAGTCACAATGAGCTCATTCTGATGATGCATTACCGAGTGGGCCCAGAGATACCTCTCCGTCATACGGAGTGACAAATCCCAGTCTCCATTCGTGCCAACCCAATAGACACTTTCGGAGATACATGTAGTGCACCTTTATAGCCACCCAGTTACGTTGTGACGTTTGGTACACCCAAAGCACTCCTACGGTATCCGGGAGTTGCACGATCTCATGGTCTAAGGAAATGGTACTTGACATTAGAAAAGCTCTAGCAGACGAACTACACGATCTTGTGCTATGCTTAGGATTGGGTCTTGTCCATCACATCATTCTCCTAATGATGTGATCCCGTTATCAACGACATCCAATGTCCATAGTCAGGAAACCATGACCATTTGTTGATCAACGAGCTAGTCAACTAGAGGCTCACTAGGGACATGTTGTGGTCTATGTATTCATACATGTATTACGATTTCCGGATAACACATTATAGCATGAATAATAGACAATCATCATGAACAAGGAAATATAATAATAACCATTTTATTATTGCCTCTGAGGCATATTTCCAACAGTCTCCCACTTACACTAGAGTCAATAATCTAGTTACATTGTGATGAATCGAACACCCATAGAGTTGTGGTGTTGATCATGTTTTGCTCGAGGAAGAGGTTTAGCCAACGGATCTGCGACATTCAGGTCCGTATGCACTTTACAAATATCTTTGTCTCCATTTTGAACATTTTCATGAATGGAGTTCAAGCGACGCTTGATATGCCTGGTCTTCATGTGAAACCTGAGCTCCTTGACAAGGGCAAT